TGGTGCCTTGCCTTTGTCCTGATGGAGACGCCTCTCGTCTGCTCTTGAGACAGATTCCCCGCTCTCTTGGGGCCTTTGGGACGCCTTCACACCGAGGCGGTCTTGGACCCCTCAGCGGTCTTGCACCCCTCCGAGCCTCTCGAGGGCTGAGGTCCGAGGCCTTTCTTTGTTCGCGTCGCGTTGGTCCCGAGATTGGACCTCCTGGGAAGCGGTGTCTTGAGCCACGACCCCTTCGTCGTTCCCCACCCGAGGGGTAGGGTTCACGAAGGAGGGTGGTCGAGGGAGAAGAACAGCGTTCTCCCCGACCTGCGGTTGAAGGGGTACCAGAGTGCCGAAGGCACCTGGGTTTTGAGTGAGTGTCTGGATGAAGGCAGAGAATGCCGATTGTACGTCGATAGTGAGAACCGGATGGCTCACTTGATTTTTGCTTCGATCCCTCCTTCGGGTTTCGATGCCGAGGCGGGCATCAGGAGCGTTTTGTTGGAGCTGAAGGCGCAGGTCAACAGCAGCCTGTTCCAACTCAGTGATGACCCCACCCTCGGGAGCCTTGTTAGAGGCTCCGGGGGCGTTGACTTCACCGAGGGCCAGGTTGTTGTCCTCAAGGTTCTTGGACTGAGGACGGGTAGTTCTTCCCATTTTAGTAGATGTTTTTTAGCTGAAGGGAGGTTTTCTTACTTGATTGTTCGACCTCTCAACGAGAGCACCAAGTGATGGATAAGTGTACCCGGGGGTAGCTTATCCGAGGGGTTATTGCGAAGAATAACTATAGAGAAGTCAGAGCAAATAAGTAAGAGAGAGAATATATATTCAGTGTGAATTCAGCGTATTCAGAATATGGTTTACAAAGGGGGAATGGGGTGCTATTTATAGTAGCAATAAATGCGAGACGAGGACACGTGTCAAGCATCCAACGGCCATGGGGTCACATCAACCGGGTGTCACTAGCATTCGCATGTGGCTGCATTTAATGCGGCGGTTGAATGGGACGTTGTACTTGGTGCGACGTTCCAGGCGCATGTGGAGAGGATATTCTTGTCGAGGAAGGTGCCCTCGGTTGTAGATGATTAGTCGAGGGCTCTTCTTGTCGTAGGCCTCTTAAGGCCGAGGGCTCCAGGTGCCAAGGGCTACTGATTTTCGCCGTTTTCTCCCAGTAGATTTGTATGCTAAAAAAAGCCTTTCTGCAAGAATTTGGAGCCTTCGGCCAGGGGGCGAAGGCACCCCTGTGTGCTCCATGGGTTGCTTGGTACCCGGGGCGCTGTGATTTGGGCCTGATGTGCTTCCTGGGCCTCTTGGGCTTTTATTAGGATAATAGGAGTCTATGGACCGGGGGTCCCTGGGCCATATACTCCATCAACTACTTTTCCACACGTTCATTCAAATGGTTCTATTGAGTGCTATAAAGCACGTTTAGTGGCTCAAGGGTATAATTAGTAGGTTGGTGTTGATCTTTGTGAGACTTTTAGTTCTCTTGTTAAATCCACCACAGTTTGTCTTGTTCTTACTATTGTTGTTTCTTTTGGGTGGGCTATGCACCAACTAAATGTTAAAATGCATTTCTCCATAGTCATCTTACAGAAGAGGTTTATATGTGTCAGTCGCGAGGCTTTATTCTTCCCCAGTTTCCTACTCATTTGTGTCGCTTGCGTAATGTCATTTATGGTCTAAAGCAGGCTCCGTGAGCATGATTTCAATGGTCCAGTGGTTTGTATTATCAACATCTATCTCATTATAAATATATTTGTCGAGTTCACTAGTACAAAAAGGCTTTTCACATCGGTCAAACAGCCGATGTGGTTCCACCACATGTGAAAAGGGAGTAGTAAATTTCTTCTAACAAATCATCAAAACCCACTATTAAAACCCAGCTCCCCAGCCCCCTCCCCAGTCCCCTCCCCTACCCACCAGCCCCCTCCCCAGCCCACCATCCCCCTCCCCAATGGCTCGGGTGTAGGGATACAATGCCTTTCAGTACTCTAAGAGTCCATTTGGAAACAATAAAATAGGCAGAATCTGTTGAAACTGCAGAAGCAATGACTGAATTGGCTCAATTCTTATAAAAAGTATATTTAAACTATATTTTATTAGTGAAGGCAAAAAAGTATATGGAAAAAGCTAAAGTAGTCCTCAGAACTGATAATCGAATTCTGCCAAACAAGTGCCTTCAATTGTACTTCCTTTTTTCATTTTGGACCTATTTAGCGTGCAAAAAACAGTTAGTGTGGTAAAACCCTGGCTCATAAGCCAAAAAATGAGCTTGCCAAATGGGCATTTAGTTTGTATAATAAGTATACACACTGTCATAAGTATAACCTGATAACAACAACGAAGATAAGTGTACGTTTTATAAGAACATTAAACGTGAAATGCTTATAGAATATAGGCTTTGGCTATGTTTGAAAAAACGAGCTGAAACTGGAGTCTATTGTCCGAATATTCTGAAATTGAAATGCTAGTTGAATGAAGTAGATTTGTTTGACTACAGAACTGAAATAACGACTAAAAATTTAAGATTACCATAAATATAAATATTTTAATATAATCAAGATAAATTTGAATAACGGGAGGGTAAAGTTGATATAAGCTAGTGGTAAATTAAAGGGCTGAACTGAAACACTACAATTGATAACATTTCAAATCAGGTGATTTGTTTTAGATCCTATCAAGTTCAGCTCTTCATCCAAATAAGGGTATATGTCAATTAAATGTCTAGATCTATCAAATTTCAACTCATTTTGAGATGGTCATCCAAACATAGCCTACAGTGAAGACAAAAGCTACTGCAAAAGATAAAGATTGTGGTGCAAACACTTCGTGAATGAAAAAAATTTGAAGTTTAGTAATAAATTGAACCGCATTTGTGTATAAAAAGTCTCATCAAAGAGGTTAAAGGTATCATATAGAAGTAATCATACTTGCAGCCCAGGCATTGAACCCCATTTTATGATTTTGTCATCCAATTGTTAAGATTACCAACTCCGGACCATAAAAAGAGAGGCATATTTCACCGGGGTACAACTTTTCAATTTTAAAAGGGTAGAATTGAATTGTACAACTCCCTTTTTCTGGAAGGATGGAATGTATTATGTTTACAAAGAAAGTCACATGCTTATGGCAAACATTACAAAGAAAAAATGTTTTTTCTTTTTCTTTTTTTCTTCATTTTCTATCAACTCTTTTACACTACTCTTTTGTATTATTATCACGTATACATCAATGTTCATCAATCATGCATAGAACAGAACACTCAAAAACAATCGAAGAAAGTGGAAGCGAAAGCAAATGAGGCCATACTCGCTCATTAATGGAAACAGATCCTTAACTTTATCCCAATAGCGGCCATCTAATGGGCATAGAGCTGCTAAACTTGATAATGCCAGATCAGAGGAATGATCACTAGTTAAAACACTAAATTTTAACTGGAACCTTTCTAAAAAATGGAATAAATTATATTCTAGTAAGATAAAGGCAGATTCTTAAGGCAGGATAAATGCAACATTATGTTTAAAGGCAGATTCTAACAGAGGTGCTGCAGCTGCTTATGGAGCCTACCATCTCACCCACGGTCATCATCATGGGTTTGGTCTTCACGGAAAGTTTAATCATGGAAAGTTCAAGCACGGGAAAAGTCATTGTTTGAGATCACATGCTATATTTGCTTTATTGTTTCTATATGAACCCAGTGCAGTTAAGTGTAAAAACAGGTGCGGTTCCTTGCAACTGTAAAATTGACTTATCAACTTATTTTCATGCTACACAAGCTATAAAAATAATAATAATAATAATAATAATAATATAAAGCCACCTTTCATGCTTCTCCTGGAGTGCTAACATCACTAGTGTTGGCATGTAAGGGAAGCAATGGAAGTATGTGAGACTGTGAGTGAATACTACTATTTTCATTTGTCTGGGTTTGTAAAAAACGTAACTGTTACTGAAAAATAAAACAAACAAAAAAAGAAAAGGCAAATTCTAACTTTAATTTATGTTGTGGAACAAAAATTAATCCAAATGTAAACCTGCACCAGGATAAAGCCAGATTCTAACTTTGAATAACATCATCTACTAACTTGATAGAGGCAATATCAACAAATTGAAACCTATTATGTACATAGTGAATTCACATAAGCAACAAAATGTGAACTAAGATAATCATGATTAAACTGAAACCTGAAAAGGAAGGTTCGCCTAGTAGAAAGACGCTCGAATGCCTTCCGCTGCTCGAATACCGTCCGCTGCTCGAATGCCTTCCGTCGTCCAAAAGAACGTCGTCCGCCGTTCGCTGGAAGCCATCCGCCGTTCGCTGGAAGCTGTCCGCCGTCCGCTTCAACACCAGCCGCGTGAAAGTCTGTCCAAAGCTCTCGCTGAACTGCGCGCTCTTCCGGCTTCCGGCTGTCTATGTTTGAAGTCGCGACTAATAGCTTAGGTCTGAAATCGGGCACAGTACAAAATTTTAAGTAATCCAGATCGGGTACCACGGATCTGGAATAATAAGATCCGGATTTTTTTCCTTCTTCCACATAGGTTTTAACCGATCTAAAATAAAGTTTCATTAATTCTGAAAATTACCCCGTTTTTCTTTTCACATCGGTTCCAAACATAACTGATTTAGAATATTTTGTAAAATTTTAAAAAGTACCCCGTTTTGCTATTTAACATGAGTTATAACAACAACCCATCTAAAAAAGTTTATAAAATTATAAAATGACCCGTGTTAGTATTCTACATGGGTTTTAAAATAACACATGTAGATAAGGTGATTTAAAAAGACTTTTTTGTACTAGTGGTTTTTAAAGAGAGGAACCTATTTGATTATATATTCCATATTCCATATAATAGATTAAGACGTACAATTAGACCATAGGAACACAGAAGATAAGTTGATCGGTGTAATCGTTATTATTGTATAAAAAGTGGATTAGGAATGTATTTTGTATGTAGATGACAATATTTTGTTCCATCACCGCCCGCTTAAAGCGAAGTACAAAACCAAATATAGTAATCTAATTTAATACGTAAAGTTGAGGTAACCTTTGTCCACATGAACCAAGAATGTAGCAATCAATGAGAATGTAGCAGTTGAACTATTTAAATCTAAATTAAAAATGATAAAGTAACGTGGTCCAATCAAATAAATGATAGGTACGATACCCCATTTTTTAGAAAGATACCGGAGTTGTCATCTTATTATTATTATTATACTATAGGCGCGGTACCAAACATTAATTACAGTATTATCTATCGATCTTTAGCTTTACTCATCAGATCGATTTCAAAGGGAAATTTCGTATGCAATCACTCCATGGATTATCGTCATCTTCTTCCCGAGTCCCGTCTTGAACCCACTTCCAAACGAGGCTCCCAACCTTAAACCCTGTACCGAACGCTATCATCCACATTCTGTCACCTTTCTTCACCCTCTTTTTGGCTTCAAAGTAAGCCAACTCATAGAACACAAGGCTACTAGACGTGTTGCCGAACCGGTTCAGGCACATCCGAGCCGCCTCAGTCACCTCGTCGCTCAGCCGCAACACCCTCGCCACCTGATCTATCACCGCCCTCCCACCTGTGTGTATGCACATGTGCTCGAATGCTGTGGTGAAATCCGGCACCTTCGGAGGCGGAATAATCTTCGACCGGCGCCCGCCGTACAGGGACGATAGCGTGGCCGATAGCACGGCGGAGACTAGGTAGCTCGTGAGTTGACTCAGTGGGAGAACTCGCGGGGCTAGGATTTTAATGTGGTTGCGCAAGTTGACACCAGCCACCCTCACTAGATCTTTAGTTAGGGCCACTCCAGTGATCCCATCCTCATCCTCCATCTGAAATGCGGCGCGGTACGAACTCTCATCCGCGCCGTGGTGAGTCCTGAGGGAGTCGACGAGTTCCATCTTTGCGACTCGGCGAAAACTCGGGTCATTCGTGATGAGAGCAGCCGTGCAGCCGACTCGAAAGAGACAATTGGTGACGAGCATGGAGCGACTAGCCCCGTGGTACCAATTGAGGGTAATGCTCTCGGTGACTACCACAAGGGCGTTCTGTCGACGCCCGCCGCCGCCGCCACGCAAAAGCCTGGCAGCGAGGTCGATGGAAATGACGCCGGAACTGCACCCCATCCCACTGAGGTTATACGCCTTCACATCCGGTCGAAGCTTATAACGGTTGATGATCAGCGAGGAAAGGGAAGGAGTGGGCGAGAAGCTCCCGCATGTAACGATGACGACATCAATGGAGGAAGGAGGGATTAGGGTTTTGGCGAAAAGGGCATCCACGGAAGAGAAAATACCCTCCTCGGCTTCTTGAAGGGCGCATTTGAGCGTGGGGCGCGTCGTACAACAAGAATCTTTCTCCGCGGCGGCGTCGAATATGAACTGAGGGGCGTAGGTTTCGTCCCCTAACCCCGACTTGGCATAAATATTGCGCATGAAGTTGAGGGTTTCGTCGGAGAAACGGTGGTCGCTGCGGCGGACGAAAGCCTCCGCCACCTCGTAAGAGCACTTTCTTTGTTCCGGCGGTTTGTAACATGAATAGTTTAGCAAGAATACGGCGGGGTAGCGGGCGCGGGAAAGAAGTCGGTGGGCGGAGTAGATGATGATCATGGCAGCGCCGCCGCACGATAATAAGCCATAATAATAAAGGGGGAGGAAATTGATCATCATGCCGGTCGACCTGTTCGATCGATCTGAATTGGCTAGCTAAGCTAAGCTAAGCTTTTGCGGCAGATAAAACGAATGTATAGTACGTACGTAGATGGGTCGAGTATATATAATAATAGATTATACGAAGTAAGTATTATACTCGTATGATATTATATACATACATACTATGGCTATATATCTTCTAGCTAACAATTATTATACTCCCTCCGTCTAAATTGAATAGCAATCTTTGACCGGCACAAGGATTAAAGAATGACAATAAATGATACTTGCTTTTTACACTTTTGTCCATCTTTCTAAAAGTAGATACATTTAAATTAATGGAAAGAAAATATAAGTAAGGGTAAATTTGACATTTTATTTTTATTTACATACCTAAAATAGAAAGTGGAAAATCATTTTGAGACAACCAAAATAAGAAATTTTGCAAAACAAATTGGGACGGAGGGAGTATATAATAAGTTGCATGATATGCTTGTGGAAAACTCATCTACAGGGGCGGACTCAGGAAATTCATCTTGGAAGGACGGTAAGTTAAAAAAAAATAGGCGTTCATTATTATAAGTTATAACATTTTAATAGTAATAACATGAAGCATTAAAATAGTACACAATAAGAAAAAAATAGAAGAAGAGATAGACAAATATATTATTATAAAATAGTTAAGTGAGTACCTTAGAATTGTGCCCAGCGCTCCTTCAACGAGATAAATTCCTCAATCACGGTTTTTGAGTCAAAAGTTTTAGCAATTTCTCTTTTAATATAAACAACAAGGTTGTCTGAACGATACTCATTCTCTATTTTATTGCGAAGCCTTTTTTTATAATTTTCATTGCTGAAAAAGTCCTTTCTGTTGTTGTCGAAACCGGTAGAGTCAACAAAAGTCGAACCAATCTATCAATAAGAAAGTACACTTTTGACATCTCCGTCTCCACTAATCCTTGACAAAGTTCAGCCATTGTAGATAACTTCACCAACTTTGGATGGTTTAGAACATTGAGCTTATAATGTTGCAATCGAAACCTCAATCCCTCCTTCTCTTGCTCAATAAAATCAAAGGGGTAATATTTATCCACTAAAGAACAAATATTATCAATGTTAAAGGACTTATATGAGTCCTTATGATCCAAAGCACTACTAAGAGTAAGAAGATACATTATATGTTCACTGAATCTGCGTGTTATTCAGCTTTGACAATTGTGAATCTATGGCTGCGTTAAACATATCAACCCGATAGTAACGTTCAATATCAACCCTTCTTGATCATGGCGTTTGCGTTTTACCGCATAAGGAGACTTCATATTAGGAACGTAACTTCAATCTCATGCTTTTTGCAAAACTCTTCAACAATTTCTAAGAAGCTATCTCATCCACTCTCCCTTAACTTTTAGATCAACATTTTGGTGCTTGACACCAAATGCATAGCATTTACTATGTCTTGGGACTTCTTTTGTAGATGTTGATATAGAAGTTCTATAATACCCATAATTTCTTTAATAAGATGCAATAAGAAAACAAAATCAAATGATTTAATCTTCTTAAGTGCTCCAGTTGCATCTCCACGAGTAGAAAAGTTATTGTCATTCCCTTCAACATCTTCTAAAACAGAACAAGTTGCAGCAAACATCCTAATCAAACTGAAATGAAGTGAATCCTTCCCAAATCTTTACTGTTAAATACAATCATAATCAATTGAATAACTTAATAACTTAAATAAATAAATACCAACCAAATACCAACACAAACTTGTATGGAAAAATGGAAAATAGCAATATGAAAAATTGTTTAAAATACCAATTCGCAAAGCCTAAGAACCGCAAAGGGCAGAGGGACAGAGGTACAGAGCCACCGGCCCGCCGCAGAGACGCAGCACCGCTATGCCGACGAGTGAAGACTGAAGATGCACAAAGGCACAGCCGTGCAGAGCCTCAGAGTTGGCAGATGGATTGCCGGACTGGACGGATGTTCCTGCTGGACTCCAAGACTTGTTGAGGGACGCAGTGGCAGGATGGCGGACTGGCCGTGAAATTGGCGGCGTTGCAGCGTAGCTACTCGTTCGTTACTCGGTCCCTTGGTCGCAGGTGGGGTTTGTGAGTTGGGAGTTTGTCGCTTCTTATTCCATCTCGTTTTGGTTAAGTTGTGTATCTTACTTGGAATCTTGCACTGGGCTGATATAATACTACTTTTATAAGTTCTATATTTGTTTAGCCTTTTAAACAATTGGGCCTCTACGAGTGGGCTATGCTTTGGGGGTGAATTTTTTTTGGGGGGTTCAAAATATTTTTGAGGGGACGAAAATTATTTTTTGAGGGAAGCAAAATTATTTTTCATATATATATACACTAAAAAAATTGTTGGGGGGGGGGGGGGGGGGGGTTGCCTCCTGAGTCTCTACTATGGTCCGCCCCTGCTCATCTATATATGTAGGTGCTATATAAAGAAAGCTAAATGCATGCGTATTAGCAGCTAGTCCATGCATACAGGGGCGGATCTGGCTCTGGACCAGGAAGGGCCTAGGCCCCACCTCAAAAAAAATAAATTTACTAGTATATATATGTATTATAGTTCTTAAATAATGGTATACGTACAAAGAAAGTCAAAATGAACGTATTTTCCGTGTTAGCTAGATGGATGTGTACTGCCGTGCTGACCTACATGTCATTTGTTCGAATCACAGGTGTAGCACATCTTTTTAATTTGGAATTGTGTAAACATTTCAGTTTTTTTTTACTTCTAAAAACTCTGGTCTCACACTAGAAGAATATAAGGATTCTTCTTTCAAACGTACGTAGTATAAATTTAAACTTGGTCTCCTAAGTTTAATTAATACTCCCTCCGTCCCTAATAACTTTGCCAAGTTTGACCGGAACGGGGATTAATAAAGTAAAAACTGAGTGGTTGAGTTTTGTGCAGAGGAGAGAGAATTAACTGAAACCACAAATTCTTTACTTAAAAAGAAAAGTGACAAAGTTAATGAGACATCCAAAAAAGGAAAGTTGGTAAAGTTATAAGGGACGGAGGGAGTACAAGTTTAACACCAATCTCAAACGGTGAATGAGCTAGATGCTAATATTGTGAACGTTCTTGGGCTTTTGAGTATTAGTCTGAATAATTAATTTGTTCAATTCATTGGGCTTGGTAGGTGAGTATTAGTTTAATATGTATGCGTTTGAGGCATTTTTGTATTCGGCAAAAATTCTTATTCCTGTTATATTTATTTTTGTCTTTGACATTTATGTTGCAAAAGATTTTATTTTATATTTGAAAATAAATTTTGTTAAATAACATACTCCGTCCATCCCTCATAACTTTGCTAACTTTCCTTTTTTATTGTCACAAAACCTTTGTCACTTTCCATTTTAATCAATCAATTTGTGCTTCCTATTATTTCTCTCTCATTTGTACAAATCTCTACCACACAGATTTTACTTTATTATTCTGTGTGTCGGTCAAACTTGATAAACATTTAAGGGATGGAGGGAGTACTATTTTACTACGTTTTGACATTTATTTTTGCAATATACGTTGTTTAATCAAATTTTGGTCGCACCTGATTGACAATGCTAGATCCGCCCCTGCATGCATATTATATTGCTACCAACTCAACCCACATTAATTATTCAATTCTACGTCATATTCTTGTATTTCTCAGATCAATTGAAGCTAGCACGTGATTAATCAATTCCTACGTCATATTCTTGTATTTCTCAGATCAATTGAAGCTAGCACGTCATATTCTGCTATTCCTACATATTTTTTTTTGTGATTAATTAATTAATTAATACTATCAGTCGTTGTATATGGCATGTAGCTAAATAGTTATTAATAATTAGCTAGCTGTAAGTTAGATGGATATTAATTAATACGATAGGCAGTTATTAAGTGAACTCTAATTAAATCAGACAGAGCTTAACTACTCGCCACTTACTTGATCCATATATATCTTTCTAGAAGTTGACTTCGATTCTATATATATTTATGCCTATATGATTTTAATTAATGTGTAAAATCATTGACTTCTTTAACCAGTCTTACTCTCATTTTAAACTCATACGGAGTATATATATATGTACGTAATTGGAGGACAATTTAATTGACACGAGTTATTATGAGTATATATATAGGGGTGAGATCACATACAAATTATGCTTAACTTACTAACCTATAAACTCAATAATATGCAACACTTTGAACTTCAATATGCAGTACATATAATGTAAAGATGCACTCTTTGAATTTCAATATGTAATACAAATAATGTAAATATGAAATTGCTATTTTATGGCTTGAATAATATGAAACACTTTGAAGTTCAATGTGCAATACAAATAATGTAAAGATATTTGAATGGGAGGACTAGTTTGTACGTGGTCACACCCCTGCATCTTTACATTATTTTTACTGCATATTGAAGTTTAAAGTGATGCATATTATTGAGTTTGTAGTTTAGTATTTTAAGCATGGTTTGTATTTGATTTCTTATATATATATATATATATATATATTCTTTTTTTTTGTTACTCCAGGGGGCGTCTGGGGGGTTGGGGGCCCTGGAGTAATCAGAGCTGAAACTCAGCCCATTGAGTTTCAAACCCTTATGTGCCTAGCGGATTTCGAACTCGAGATCTCTCACTATGCACACTAACCTCACAACCAGCTGGGCTGGAATGCTTGGTTATATATAGGGGGTGTTTGGAACTGATTCTGTTTCTGCTTCTTTTTTACAGCAACAGCAGAATCAGAATCGGTTTTCAGAAGCTGGTCACCCCAGCTTCTAAAAAAACTGATTCTAGGAGAAAATTAGAGCACTAGAATCACTTGTGCACTTTCACCCAAACACTCCAACTTCTGGTTCTGCTTCCTGAAGGAGCAGAAGCAGTTTTAAGAATCGGATCCAAACACCTCATATTTATAAGGGTTATATATATATAAAAATGGAATGGATATGTAGTCCATTTTTGCATTTTTGCATTTCACAAGCGCAGCTCTAGTCCATTTTTGCATTTCAGCCATTTGATTCATTTTAAAGGAGACGTAAATCCATTTAAAAGCTGAAAAAAGATTAAAAACGAGGAC